AAGGAATCACACAAAGAAGCACCTCATCCATGTCTCACACTTGAGTGTGGAAACAAAGTGTCCAGACTTAAACAAGTTAGCAATGGTAATAGATTTTGCAGCCACTTGACGCTAATCTTTTCACTTAGTGTTAATAGATTTTTGCTGCTACTAAGCGCTAATCTTTTAATCTTCAAGTGATACTTCAACGCGCACTATTATAGTGCATGAAAATTTTTTTTTTTTTTTTGGCTCCATCCACTCCCAAAATTGGGTATAGAGCAAAAATGCTGCTCATACTGGCTACTCGTCTTACACTTAATGACTAATTTATTTAGCTCGCATTTCTTGGATGACGTGATTCTTGAATGTTACTTCATCCAATGATGTAACATTATTTACAAGTCAAATTACAAAGTCAATCCGCGCAGCTCATTAGTCAAGATCATATACAGATTCATTGAGGGCTTACTAATTTTATAACTCCAAAACTCGCCAACCAAAACTATGTAGCGTGCCGCTACCATAGCGCACACATTAGTTTTTATTGTGCCAAACAAGGCAACAAAACCACGACGACTTTGAATCATGTTTCCTTACTTTGGCTCAATTAAGACTTGACCTAAAGTCTCCAAGACTTTTGCTCATCTAAAGAATGGGATTACAATGTTCACATTTGAACATCTCTACTAAGTCTAGGTCACCAAATTAACTTCCATAAGCTAAATCAATTTAGAGAGAAAATTCGCATTAGGATTAATTTTATTAGCATAATATAATTTTGCTGCAATAATCTAAATTAAATAGTGACAATATTACACAAGTCGCAAGATCGAAAATCCGCTATGCTCGTAATCATCTCTTGCGCCACAATGACAATTATCCAAAATTTAGTTTAATTTATGCTCAAAATATGGTTTTCGGGAGTTAATCTACAAGGATTTCTCTCAACCGAATAACTTCCCACTGACTATGGCATATACAAAGCATGATAAATTCCATACAATAGCATCTCAATGTAAATTTACAAACAACTCATGCTATATTTATTTAATGATGGAATTCAAATAAATAAATAAATAATCATGCTCCTCTAATTACAACAAACCCAAAAAAAATATGTTGTATTTAATATTTAAATTATTCCATAACAGAAAGTATATCATACTGAAATTTTCTGGAATTTTCTGGTATTTTCTGGAATTTTAAATAACTAATAAACACACATAAAATTAGAAATAAAAAAAAAATCCAGAACTGAACAACTGAGACAATATTACCAGTAGCTAGTAAAACATTTCAGAAGTCCACAATAAAAATTTCAACCCCAGAAAATTATTTATGCAATACCAGAATCATTTTAAAGCATAAAAAATGAATTATTAACACAGAAAAAATATTTTATTTTTGTAAAATTTTCAAAATTTACAGAAGATATAAAAATTTAATTCTGAGTCTAAAGGTTCCAAACCATGCTTAAAACAAAGCTATAACGAATAAATTATGGCCAATTAACGCAATTCAGAATTAAAAACAAACAAACAGAGCCTTAGAGCCAAGTCAGCGGGAAAAAGGCTCGGCTTGGCTCGCCGCCGTAGCGCAACTCGGCGCGACGTCGGCTCAAGAAGCGGCTCAGCCGGCTCCGGCACGAGCTCAGCCCGCGGCTCGGTGCGGCTCGACGCACGGCTCAAACGCGCTCGGCGCTCGGCTCCAGCACGCGCGCGCGTGCGAGGCGCGACGGCGTGCGCGTGGACAACGCCGCTGACGCGCACGTGTGGCGCGTGCGGCGCGTCTGTAGGGCGTCTAGCGCGTGGGGCGTGTGGCTGCGGCCCACGACGTCAGGTGGGCGTGGTCTGCACGCGCTGCCTTCAGGCGTGTTTCTGGTCCGATTTTTGTACTGCCAAACTCCTTTTTTCAAAATAAAACCGTTTATGGTATGAAAAAAGACATTAATGAACATTAAAAAAAATATTTATGCTCTTAATCTAATCAAAGTAGATTTTTTTTCTCCTTACAAACTTCATGTATATAATGTAAACATACAATGTAAAAATATATACATGATTAAAGGAAACACGAAAATACCCATACATGGCTTTGATACAAATGTAAATCAAGTATAAAATGCAGCGGAAAAATATATTAGATCATACCTTTAGATGATAGAACCTCGTGGGTAAATCACGTGCTTCCAGAGTCTGATAAACCCCAGCTGAGTGATATCACATATTGAATCACCCACACAAATCACAGTGCAATGACTTGATCGTTGTTTTGGGAAGAGAGTCAGTATATGGGTAGAAACAGATCATACGTTGTTTCTCTCTCTTAATCACCCATAACCCATATACCAAATATATATTATTTATTATTATCTATCCATATCAGTAATGGAGATAATATCTGTATCCTGAGTGGTTATTCCTAAATAGGTTTGAATTCAATTTCAAAACCTATTTGGATAAGATTCAAATTTAAATTCAATGGTCATGCCACATGAGCGCCCATTACTAACAAGGAGAAAACAGAAAAGAAAAGAAAAGAAACTGCCCAAAATGACGTCGTTTTGGACGGTCGGAGGATTCGGGGAAGAGAGATTTGAGCTACGAAGGATTATTCAAATAAAACACTCCCATCAATTTACAATTTACTTACAATACGCAACATTGCCTGACCCTTCAGATTTTTCATCATACTGCCAGCAATGTTAGCCTAAATAGCAATGTATTCTTGATAAAAACAAAGATAATTGCTTTATATTAAACATATCTTCATGGTGACTCCTTTAGCTAAGTCACAAAAACCCAATTTAACATGGAAGATTTGATCAAAACCCCTCATAATAAAATTTTAATACATTACGGACAAGTACAAAAGTTTTCTTAAAAAGTCCAACACGTACTATTATTATTAAAAATATTAAACTTTAAAATAATATAACTTTTGATGTAGATGTTGGTTTTTAATAAAATTAAATATTTTTAAAATTCTCTTATCAAGATCTATCAAATAAAATCAACATTGACTGATGAAATTCATAAAATAAAATAAAAAATAAAAAATTATTACCGTTGAAATTGATGTAAATAGTAACAGTAACATGTTTACTCTATCTCACAGTAACATGTTACTTTGGCAATATTGTCCAAGAAAAAAGAAGAAGATATTTTACTTTGTCCTTACTCAATATGTATTTTCTCCTTAGAGGGTTTATGACAAATAAATTAGATGTCATTTTCACCAAACAATGTCCAATGGAAGGGTTTTGGCTAAATTTCCCATTAAAACATCATTCATCGTTGAAAAATTATAGCCCATGATCTTGTTAAATATTGATTTAAGAGTTTCAAATCAACCAAGACCAAATAAAAAAGAAAGGACAACAACCAAACACAACATAAGAATTTTTACGTGGCAAAAACCACAGTCCCTTGCTACATAACAATCTACTATATGAAGATGATTCTCTCTCTCTCTCTGCTACTCTCCTCTTCTTCTTTTTCTTCTTCTTCTTTGTTCTTCTTCTTTTTTCATTTTTCTTCTGCCAGTTATTAAAAAAAAAAAAAATTCAAAACGATGAAACGACGTTGTTTTGAATTCGGGCTAAATTGAAGCTCGGTAGTTTCAAGCTACGTAGCATAACTGGTTTTATTTTGGGGGTTTTGGAAAAGATTTCTTCAAATTTAATAGCTACGTTTGAGCTACAATGGGAAGAAAAAGTTTGAGCTAGAAAAAATGGATAAGCTTCCCTCTACTTTACTAATGGATTTGAAGGTTTAGTTCATGGGGTTTAGGCCTACTCTATGTTAATTTTGATAATTTAAATCGTTTATTTTTTAGTATTTTTTAATTAGACTGATCACATACAAATTATATTAATCGACTATTGATAGCCATATGATTTGACTACATTTGTTTTAAATACATGGTTGGTACGTATAATTCTAATAATAGACCTTTCATATTTTTTTTAAATTAAATGTGATCTATTATGCAGTTACGCATTTCTGATCAACTAAATTTTTTATATAAACAATCTACTTGATGCTTGATGCACACTTGTTATTGATCATGTTATACAGACTTTTCAAAGTAAATTAAACATTTATATCGGACATTCGACGCTTAAAAGATAGAAGATGCATGTCAGATATTTTTTAATAAACATTTCTTATATAATTATGTATAATACTATTGTTGTATAATATTATTCGATACTTGTGCACTTGTACATGTTGGTAAAGTCAACAGCGAAGTGTGAGGAGTTGACCAGAGGGTGTTAAAGTTCACCTTGTTCAACCACCCGACTAACCAATTAATCTGGGAAAACCCAAGTCATTGTTCCGTAGGACTATACTCCACAAGGAGTGGCAGATCATCAACCCCAACCCACACCAATTAAAATATTTGTCATTCAGTAACTTTTTCAATTTTTTTTTCTTTTTTTAATAAAAAATATTCAACATGTTTATGTTTTGTTTTTTGGTAAAAACAAAAACAAAAAGATAAATGCTAGACTAAATATTAAATATGTTTATGTTGAATTTGGATTATATTATTATTTTCTGAATAAAATTTTGAGTATTTTTTATTGGTACCTAGACTTAATGATAATGAAATGACCAAGGGTAATCTGTCCATTGGCTCTCATCCAATATGAGATGATTGTATCCGATTTTATAATCAAATTCAGTGCATAAAAAAAATTAAAAATAAAATTGAGAATTTCATGATCACTTTGATCAACGTATAGCCTATTTCTATTGTGTTGACTCATATATTATAGTCCGGCAAATTGATGGCTTAGATGATATGGGTTTTTAATGGATGATCTTGAGCCCCAAGATTCTTTAATTAGATAACCAAAGCACCATTAAAATAAATTAAAAAATGCAACTTAACCAAAGGTTCACTCAAAATGTTTGAGACCAAATATGAAAAAACATTGCCCACAATTTTGGTCAGTTAGGTCATCTAATCACAAGCCATAGCTCATATAAAAATACAGACACGCATGCACACAAATAAACCAACCCTTCATTTATAATTCATTTGATGCTTATCTCTGATTGGGTTGTATAATGAAAATGGCAAAGCAAGTTGTGGTGTGTGTTCTTGGTGTTCTTGGCCTTGCTCTAACCTGCAAAGCAACTTTTTACACCGTCGGGGATAGCTCCGGTTGGGATATTAGCACTGATCTTGATACATGGGTGAAGGGCAAGACATTCGCCGTTGGGGATGTCTTATGTGAGTTTTTTGTGCCTTATATATCTCATCAAAAATGTCACGCATAATTTTCTATAGAAAAGTGTACGAAATGCATTAATCATGATACTAGGTTCATGGGATAATTGCCCCTTTGAGTTTATAAATATTTTTTCAAAAGTTTTTCTTATTGAAATAATAAAAATATTGATTTTGCCTATGATTATAACATTTGCTTTCAAAATTGCCCTTCTTTTTTTTCTTCTTCTCGTCTTTATGTGCTAAATCTGAATGGTATTGAAAGAGAACATTTTTGATAATTTTCATATTTGGTATCATTTTTGTCTTCAGATTTTTGTTTTCACAATAGAAAAATAAAAATTGACACTGAAAATTTATTGGGCAAACTATTTTAAAAAATGTTACCATGATTTTATTTTTCGTTTTGAAAGTATCATTCTTTTAAAAAAATTTATAATTTAAAAAATAATTGAAAAACATGAACTACAAAGAAAAAGAAAAGAAAAAAAATACCATACAGGATCTTAACATACATAGATTTCGTTGACTTTCATCGATTAAAAATATATATATATATATAGATATACACACATAAATTTATGGAAAATTAAGACAACCTTAAGAAATAATTGTGTATTAACCCTTCAAAATATTTGCTAAATATAAACAAAATTTTTAACTTCACCCTTATTTTGATGGAACCGAAGCTCCACCAGATGAATATAGTGCTACTAGTGGTGGAGCCACTCACGTGCCTCTACTCAACTTTTAAAAAATTACATTTTGTGTTGAAATTTTTAAAACATTAATTAAAATATGGACAAATATTTTATCAAATTAAACTGTGTTTCAAGCCAACCTAACCCAATAATTTGTCTTGAAATTTCCCCTCAACTAAAAGGCTAACTGCTAGCGTTGCATTCTGTGTACTTCTCTGAGTTTAAAAAGAAAAAAAATTAAAAGAAAATCATCATTGTGTTTAATTTCACTTTTTTGAATTGTTTTTCAAAATTTTGATTTGAAAATAGACTACTGGTTGGTTTCCTTTTTTTCAATCTTGCAAATGGAATTCAAAACTTTCTCCGGCTAGAATTTTGAGCAACATAATTCTAAAGTCGAACAATAAAATAAAATAAAAAATGTAAATACATGTCACATCAAAAGTAATACTATATTTATGTTATGTGTTTATCTATATCTATATCTACATCTACATCTAATCATTTTATGGCAAATTTCTCTATTTCTCAAGCGCATCCAAAAAATAGGAATTATGATTTTTTTTTTTTTTTATGATTTTTTGAATAACCAAACAAAACTCTAAAATTTTTTAAGAATAATTATCCAAAATTTAAGGACCAAACACAGTGAATCATTTTTTTTTCATAGACTACTTCAAGTGTAGCAATGAATTAATATTTGCCTTAATTTTGTGTAACACAGTGTTCCAATACTCATCAACCCACAGCGTGAATGAGGTAACAAAAAACAATTACCAGGGGTGCAACACGACCAATGTACTACAATCCAGTAGTAATGGGAACACAACATTTCCTCTCTCCACACCTGGTGACAGGTACTACGTTTGTGGCGACAAATTGCATTGCCTCGGAGGAATGAAACTTCACATTAACGTCGCAGGCAATCAAGCCGCGTCGCCCACCAATGCCCCGGAGTCCGCTACCACCTCTCTTCCGACGACGCCTTCTTCCAAGAGCAACAACCCTACAACTCTAACTTCTAGTGGCTCAACTGTGTTTGTTCATGGTGGAATGGGTTCTCTTGTCTTGGGTTTTATGGGTTTGGTGACTAGTACTATGTTTTGGGTGTTTTGAAGTTGTCTATAATGTGTTCCTATATGTAATTTTTATTTTTTTGGTATACCAATCTCATTTTAAATAAATGTTTTATAGCTGCAGATCTGAAAAAGAGAAATGTTATATGTGGCGGAAATTTTTTTAATGTTATTTCATGGTATATGTGGTTATGATGAGATTATAATCCTTTCTGTCATATGAGTAGAAACTGAAAATCCTAAGTGATTCGTGATTAGATCAAGATTAGAATATTCCAAATCCCAATTATTCAAAACACGCAATCTAAATCATTAAGCACTTACGAAAGTGATTTAGATTGTTATTTTTCAGAATAAATAATAAATCGACACAAACGATTTTTACGTGAAAAAAATCACAATTGAAGAACCTTCAATTGTAATCAAAAACCACGGGCGAAACGCCACTAATCAATCCACTACTGAAGAAATAAAGATTACAAAGATAATATACAAATTACCCAACTTAGTCAATTTGCCTTCAAATCTTCTGTAACTCTTTCACCAAGTCTTCGTCTCGGAACTGATCCACCTGAAGTTGAATCCACAACTTCACTTGTCGAATTAACGACTACGTACAGAATCAAATGCCTTTTGAAACTCTACGTTTGAATTTTCAGAATCCACCGAAGAATAACACTCTTGTATGTATACGAACAATCTCCTTGATAAGTGCTTCTTAATTCATGAGCTGAATACTCATTCAATTTTATCAAGGAAAACTCACAAAAACTTCTCCAGAAGAAAACCTCAGAAAACCTCAAAGTAGATCTGGAAAAATAATCCTAATTTTTTGGAGAAAACCAACTACTTATAGAAATCCGGATTTTGAAGCTCGCTCGAGCAAGAACCTTAACTCGCATGATTTCCATAAGTGCCTTCGCTCGAGCCACGAAACTTTCGCTCGAGCGAGAAATGAACTCTTTCAGGTTTTATGCAGACGCAGTTCTTCGCTCGAGCCACCTAGTCTTTGCTCGAGCGCACATTCATCTCTTTCAGGTTTTAAGCCAGATGCAGTCCTTCGCTCGAGCGAGCAATTCGTCGCTCGAGCGAGCAACACAAAACAGCACAGAAAATTACAACTCAACCACACAAGTTTGTTCGCGGGTTTGACAAGACTTAGGGACCTAACAATCTCCCCCTTGGTCAATACCCGGACAAAACTTTCTAACACAATTTCCTAAACAACTGCACTAGCTAAAACAATTACAACTCAAAGATCAAGCACAATTACAACTCAAAGATCTAACTAAAACACATGAACTAGCTAAACCAACTATAAAACCAATCTTGATGACAAACCAATCTGCACAAAATAAACTTGGAGAGAATTTGTTATGTATCATAATAAACCATCAAGACATCATCATATATTCCAAAAAAAAAAAATGAATCCAATGCAATCTGCAAAGAAACAGCATGTAGGCAAAAACATCTATCCCCAAAACATGTAAACATCATGAGTATGAGTATCCCATATACATCATATACATCACCCAAAAAAAAATGAAACCCCTGCCTGCAAAAACATATAAGTACCACAAGAAGATATACCCTGCAACCCTCCTTGCAAATCATAATACTCCCCCTTTTTGTCCGGGATATACACCATAAGCAAAACTATGCAAATAAAGAAACCAAAAATTGTGCCAGAAAAGCAAAAAAACCAAAAAACTGTGCAAGAGAAGAAACCAAAAACTGTCACGAACTAAGGCTCTGGAGGAGGTGGCTGCGGCATCTGGAGAAGAGAAAGAATTTGCGCAAGCATAGAACTTTGCTCCTCAAGGCGGCTGTCAAGAGAATCCATCCTGGCATCCAACTGATCTAGGCGGCGTGTGACAGACTGCTCAAGCATCTGCAGCTGGCCATGAAAAGAGCGAGGACGGATCTCAGGTAAATCAGGGGCGCCGACAGTGGCTGCTTCAAACTCTTCCTCCTCTCCAAGGGGATCATCATCACCTGCATCAAAACTCCCAACCTCGGACACACTCCCTCTCACATGGGACTGACTCTGGGAAATCGTGAGCTTTGTGATGGGTTTTATAGGATGTGCAAACTCATCGTCATCAAAAACAGGAATATCAAGAGAAGTGAGAAATCGAGTAAGCAAACACCCATAAGGAAGCCCCAAAGACTTTCTACCCTCAAAGACCCCAATCATTTTAGAAACAGTCATCTTTGGAAGATCAATGGGAAGTCTATGATGAATACAATACAACACATATCCCTAGACCTGGGTAATGTGTGAGGAATGGGTGGTGACATGAAGATTCGCACACACAATGATATTCAGAAGACGGAACCGAGGAAGCAACTCATTTTCCTGAATGAGTGCCCCAGCAAGCCAAGTTCGGTCAACTCCACATAATTCAGAGGCAACACGATCAAAATCAACACCAGACCGAGTAAGAAACGGAAAATGACAATTACCAATTTCAGGAAGATCAAGAAAAACCCGAAACACATCCCCCGTGATAACAAGTGACTTCTTCCTAACCCAAGTCTTAAAGGATGCCGGAATTTCTTTCCGAATGGAATGGATATTGCAATAGAATTCTCGGATGAGACTCAAATTTTGTGGACCTGAAAAATGCAACACTTGATCTCAGCCTAATGAATCAAATAAAGACCGAATGGTAAGAACCTCAAAGGCACTTGGGAGGACATTTCGCTCTAAATGGAATTTACGAGATGCAAACGACTCCCTAAACAACTTGGCCTTTTCTTTTTACTCGAACTTTTCAGTGTTGAAAGGGGGACGGGAAACAGTGGTTTTACGACGCTTGGATGACTCTGCCATGACTAAAACCACCCATAACATAAGAAGCCAACAACCCAAAATAAAGAAAGCATGAGACAACATTAGTCCAACATGCAGAAAACATTAGTCCAACACGAGTCCAAAACAAAGAAAGCGTGAGAATCCCAATACTCAGACCACAGTTTAAACACTAAAATGTCAAAACATGAATTAAACATGAAAAACAAACAGTATACCTGAAAGACACCAAAATGCTTAAGTGAAACACAGTAAACCCCCCACCAAGGGTAGAATAATAGAACCCCCAAATCCAAACAACAGATCACATTCTCACAAGATAATATATGAAGACAAAAACAATCCCCAATGTGAAATCCTAAATCAAAATCTCGAAATTTAAACCCTAGCAAAGAACAAAGTACAATGCTCCAACTTACTAACCCTAGGGACAAATGAGAGACACAAAAACAGTATGAAATAATCAAAAGCAACAAGAATAAAACCCAGATGAAAACAGAGCATGTACATAGTCACACGACAAACGAAGAAGAAAAAAAATAAAAGAAAAAAACTTACCAACTGGAGAATGCACAAGAATGAACGGAAAAGCCCCAAAACCAAGAGAGAAATCACAGATGAGGCTAGCAATGGACAACTCAGAAACCCTAGGGGAGAGAGAGAGAGAGAGAGAGAGAGAGAGAGAGAGAACACGAAGAAGGAGGGGAAAAAAATAAACTGAAAAGACACCCCTTTAGAATTTGAACCGCGACAGGTCGCTCGAGCGAAAACTTTGTAGATCGAGCGAAGACACCTATGCACAGGGGTTCGCTCGAGCCAAGAACTTGTTGCTCGAGCCAAAAACACACGCTCTCAGGTCTAATGCAGTAACAGAAGCACGCTCGAGCGAGGACTTCGTCGCTCGAGCCAAGAAGAGAAAAAACAAGACCCAAAAAAAAAAACTTTTTTTTTTTTTTGAAATAAACAAAAAACACAAGATACTCAATATCATGAAGTGAGACCTGGAACACAAGTAGATGATCACATTTGGCCAAAATTGATACTAAGATAAAATAATCCGCAGATCATGAATCCTGTAAACTTGCAATTTAAAAAAAAAAAAACAATGACACTGGAAATCATGAGCAAAGTAGATAAAATATAATCGGTGATCGTAAGCTACATGAGAATGTACAACTCAAAATCCAACATGAGATCTCACAAAATAAAGTGTGTGTGTGCAATCCATGAGAGTCCACTGAGCTAGAGTTAATCCTCGTAGTGATCGGATGGCTGGACCTCCGGCAAGAGTAACTGAACATCACAAAGAAAAGTCAAACCACTAGGAATCACGGGGTAGTTGTTGAGTAAATGCGGAAGCTCCCCCTCAATCAATGAGTCCCTTTTTTTTTTTTTTGACATTTTCTTTCTTGTGGGCACTCACTGGTGGCATTCACGCTCAAGAGTATGGAAACCAAACCAGAGAAGAATGAAATCATAAAGGATGTCCTGGTTGGTGCCTCTGAGGTAGCCTTTTCCTAATGCCCGGACTCCAATGAACTGAGGGAGAAACCGTGGAAGTGAAAAATGATGGTAGATGGTTAAGAGACTCAACATCACCCATGATGTACTAGTATCAGTCAATTCCACTATAAAAGTACAAGAAACACTGTTAGTGGTCCATAGAGAACTTTGATCACTTGTGCGGAAACCCCTGCAACAATTTATCTCAAGGATATGTACAGAATGAGATCATGAGGTTAATGAGCATGGGCATTCAAAATGAGCTATGAACAAAGAACAATGAGATCTTGTAAGCAGCATGAGTAGTGTGCATATAAAGATGTATACAAGTAAAACAGAAATCAATGACAATCTGATTATAACAACCAAGCACACATAAAGCCAAACACTCACACCCACTCAAGAAACAAGTAACACTCTAGTGATCGAGCATGACACCCAAGGTCTTTCTAAGGAACTCAAACCGAAGAAGATCAAGGGGTTTTGTAAAAATATCAGCTTTTTGATGCTCAGTGGGAATATGCTCAAGAACAACAAGGCCCTCTTCCACTAACTCTCGAATAAAATGATGACAAACGTCAATATGTTTGGTGCGAGAGTGTTGGACAGGATTTTTTGAAATGTTTATAGCACTTGAGTTATCATAGAAAAGAGCGAGAGTGTTCTGTTCTATCCCATAATCATGAAGCATTTGCTTCATCTACAGCATTTGTGCACAATAACTCCCTGCAGCAATGTACTCAGCCTCAGCAGTCGAAAGGGAGATGGCATTTTGCTTTTTACTATGCCAGGAAACCAGATTATTCCCAAGGTAAAAACACCTCCCGAAAGTACTCTTCCTATCATCCGCACACCCTGCCCAGTCGGCATCAGAAAA